GATGTGGGTTTCAATTCTTGGAAGACATTACTGTGTGTTTGTAAACATCCCGCTACCTTGGAATATTTTCCACAGTATTATATTACTTTCACTATAGTTTCACCACCAAAACACTAGTAGAGGATTGGGATCAATTGTTGATGCTCATAACATACAGTACATACTGTTTACTGCATTGTAACTGCTGATTGTGTCTAAGGTGTCCAAGACACACCGCAGTGTACCATGATGAGTGTTTACTATTATGCACACAAGGTATTCCTACAGTTCAGTGCGAAAAGCACTATGGTTAGCCAAGGTAAAATTCCAAAACTCCTACATAATAAGAGGAAGATCACTGGACATTTCAGAAAACTCAATTTGAATGGTAGATGTTTATGAAATGCTTTGGAGGGAAAGACATTTTCGTATTTACTGAGTAATCATTTTAATAACTCATGCTTTTAAGTTCCAGAGCATAAGGGCCAAGTGCTAGCTTCCTGTTGATAACCTCTCCTCTCTTGCTTTTAATAGTGTAGTGTGTCCTTTTCACAAAAGCTTTGTGCTGCTCAGATTTCACTATCCTGTCTCGTCCTTGGAAAGACTCCTAATCAGTAAAAAAACAAACATTCGGTTTCATTTAGTTTGTCTCGGAAATGAAAACATTTCATAAAACACAAATTTAACTTTGGATCTGCAATGCATGCCTGTGCCGTTCCCTGGGGTAGGGAGCTTCGATTTCACCCTTTACGTAACATAATGTGCTGAACAGAATGATTCCAACAATCAGACTGCTCTCCTCGCTCTGTACTAATCCCTTGAGATCCCAATACAAACCACTGGTTTTCAGTGCTGTTTGACACAGAGGCACACTATTAACACTATTTTCAAAAATAATTTGAATTTGTTTTCTAAACATCCTGAACATCAGTTGATTCAATTCCATTTTATGCACAAAATGTACTTAAGCCCTCAGAGATGTTTTCGAGCTGATATTCAACCATGGAGTTGATGTGGGAATCTTGCAATATGCCTGTGTTTTCATGTTGGGGTGTCTTCACCTTTATCTACTATTCAGGTGAAAACTATCCTATGTGCCGCATTAATTCTTCTATTGATTCATCATTTGAGGTATCTGTGTAGCAGAGAGATTGATGCTCTCTAATGGAAGGTTCTCTGCTCCTTCCTTTGGTTTCAGAGACTACTATATTTTCTTTGCATTATGTGGTTCTTTCTCCATTGTGAGGGTCCATAGGAGGGGTTTGCTTGGGGCAGTTGATGTTGATGGGGCAGACATCGTCAAAGCACTGTTGAACTGATCCCATGGATATATGAGGGGGAAAATGGGACTGTGCTTTTCTTTCCTTTCCTACTAAATAAACAATTTGAAAATTATGACGAAGGCAGGTCTAAAACTGTACAGTGTTTCCATTTGAACAGAACTGATTGCTTTTGAACAAAGAAAATTTATTAATGTAAATGGAGTCTATTCTGTGACTCTCTGATCTCTCTTTGATCCTCTAACTTTGCAAGGTAATGGTAATGAACATATCCAGTACTTTTCTCTGAGAGACTGCTCAGTACAGCACTTGTAGAACAGCACATGTCCCATTTGAATGTTTAAAATGCTGGAGTGTACCGGAGTGATCCAGACTTTTGACGACACTAACACACAGAGAGCCGAGTCACTGCCTACATCAGTCTGCAATAATGCTGGATTCTTACTGTAATGAAATTGACACAGAATGTATTTCTTCTGCAGCTGAATCTGAGATTTCTTTCAGCATGTATACTTCAAAAACAACACACAGACATAAACACATAAGCACTCACACCAGGGCCATTTTTCCCAGAAACGTCCCAGAAATGAACCTACCAGTATGTCTTTGGACTGTGGAAGGAAATAGAAGCAAACTCATTGGTGAACATGCAAACTCCGTGCCAATAGCACCGCACAAATAGATCCCAGGGCCCCAGTACAGCAAGGCAGCAATGCTCACCACTGCTCCAAACACAATTCTCAACAAAAATCTTTGAAAAACTTCCAGCTCTTGAATACAATCCTTGAACCGTTCACACCCACAATAATACTCAGATGCCACCATTAGATGCCTTGGCTTTGTAGCTACTGTACATACAGTAATTAGGCAGGAATGATGAATGTGTGTAATAAAGGACATGGTGGGAGCAGACGATGTTCTCATTATATATAACAAGTTGCTCTTTTGAAGTCAACAATGCTAACAAAACCAATGTGATTGTGTGTGATAAGCAGGAGAAGAATCCTCACTCCTTCCTGTGTAAATGTTAGGCGTTGGCACATACAATATGCCAGTATATCTGCTGTGATTTACAGTTCACAGATTGTTCCTTTTAATATTTTGAAATCTGCTTTCTATAAGTGATATTGATTATATTACAGTCCTTTCACTGTTTTTGGGAATCATCAATATTTGCCTTGTTATCTGCAGGGGCTATTGAGTTTGTGTCAACTTGTATAGCCTGACAGGCTGCAGTAAACATCACGGGAGTTTTAAAAGCAATTTTCTGTTTGTTGCAGGTCTCCTTTCTCCCCTTTCTTTAGGATTATTTGTGTAGTCAAAGCGAATAGCATAAGCTTTCCCAGTGTCATCTTAGAATTGACCTGTTAAACCCCACTGTTCTGCTTAAAGCCTATTCTTTCATCTTGTTATCTCAATCTGCTTCTTTATGTGTTGGTTTAATTGTTTTCTTTGCCTAATGAGTGTCAAAAAGAGGACTACTGCATTTATTTGCCATATTGTAATGCACTGGGGTCCAGATGATTCCCTTAGACTGGGTCTTTATATTCTATATTCTATATAGCCAAAAAGCCTATTAGATATTAATGGAAGTCTCAATAAAAGATTAAGAAAACTTGTTTAAACTTATAGCACAAACACATTATATATATTTGGATTATTTGGTTAACAAAATTATCCAACAGTAAATATCCTTTGTGAACCCTTTGATTCAGTAACAGGTGGCACCTCCTTCTGTTGCAATGACTTCAACTAGCCATTTCTTGTAACTGTTTATCAGTCTCTTGCTTTGACTTTGTGTTTTGGTCAATTCAAACTTGGGAGAACGCCTTCGGGTTGCCTTGTAGGAACAGCTCACGTCAGGTCCTGCATAGCAATCCAAAATATGATGTTGCAGTTGTTCGTCTGCTTCTAAAGTGAAGATCATTCTCGCAGTGTGTCACAATGGTCCTGAATATTTTCCATTCATAGATTGTGGAGAGATGGAGCCCTGAAAGTTTAGAAATGGTTTTGTTACCTTCTCCACACTGATGAGCATCAACTATTAAATTTATGAGGTCCTCTGAAATCTCTTTTAATCGTGGAATGATATGTTCGGACAACAGACTCACAAAGTTTCTAATTATATTAGATTATAATTATATATACATTACCTATATACATTATATAGGAAACTGCTGCCCAAACTCAGTCTTTGTTTATTAGTTACTCATTTAACCACCTCATTCTCATAGCCCACACAGTTGTGCTACATAAACTAAGGGTTCTCTTATGATTTGAGGTACAGTGATTCTTAATTTCGTTTACTTTACTGCATCTCATAAACATTGAATTGTATTGGTTAATACAGATCCTTTTGGCTATTTAACAACAAAATGATTTTGAATAAACGAGTTTAATATGGTAAGAATGTACAGTACCTCTCAGCCGTGCTATATAAATGGACTATGTTTGTTAATGAAAAACGGATTGTATATGACACACTTCATGTTGTGAAATTATGACTACATCTGTATTTCTCTTCAGGGTGAGTAATGTTGAAACTGCCCTGTTACATTTATGTGTTTAAAGAAATAAACACATGTCAACCGGTGAAATTATATATTACAATGTAAAATCAACAACAAGCTTTTTATGGAACTCTTTAAATTCTATTTCCTTTGTCGTCCACATTTCACCAAGAGGTCCCGCATGATTAAAATCCTTGTAACTGTGCCTAAGTTGGCTATAAAAGCTACCATCAGTGGAAATGAGAAATAAAGAACAGCAAACAGTTCTTTAACCTTATACAACTTCAGAAGGTTAATAACCTAAAGGGTAAAAAGCAACCATTTGCTTGCAGGCCTTGTCAGATGCCTTTGATCCACAGCCACAGGTAATAACAGCCCAGTTGACCGAATGACTTTTTCCACTAGTTCAGCATTTGGTTTTAACTTTTAAGAGCCACAAAACAAGTTTCCTTACCGGGGATCTCATGGGAAAATCTTGGCTCTTAACACTACAGAAAAGACACCTGAATCTGTACTTTTGAATACTTATCAAAACAGATAAGAAGGAGATGACGGGATCGCCTTTCATAAATTTGTATTTCCATATCTGTTGCAAGCATTACGTGAAATCATTACCTACAGTACATTTCGTTTTCCTGAGTTGTTTAGATTACAAATTGTTCTTACACCTGTATTAAAAAGCTTTTTTTTCTACTTTTGCACCTATTCTAATGAGCCAGATTCTCACAGAAGTCTATTTGGAAGGAGATTCAAAACACAACAGTTGAGATACATTGAACAAATGGAGGAAGTACCTGTAGCGAAGAAAATACCAGTCAAGAAAGGAAATACTGTCAATTTTATTTCTGACACATCAACGCATTTCAAAATGAAATCCTTCTAAAATGCCTTTCCTCTTAAATAGGTTAGCAGTACCAGTACATGTAATTAGGGATGGTGTTACACATAATCATGAAGACCATGAAGTCTCTGAAAGGGTCCAGGAAATTATTTGTCAAACTACTTGATATGACTTTGCCATATTGTAATGTTTAGAATGCCAAAAACATTCACACAACAACAACAGGAAAAACTACCACTCTCAGTGGTAAACACTTACCAGATGTAACTGATCAAACAGGTGCTGAGACTGAAACCCAGGTGGAAAGAAAGCACAATCGAGCTCAGAACAGATGCCACTACACCTTGATAACAACAACAGAACAATATCTGATTTATGTGCAGTAAGAACTACTGATTTTCCAATTCTCTTTGTCCGTTCTTTGTGCCAACATGGTTATTTTTTCACTGTGTACGTAACTGCAATATCTGTTAGTGCCTGCAAAAAGGAAAAAAATAAATATTATTATATCTTCTGTCAGGCTGAAAGAGTTTTATTGATTGTACATCTTTTCAGTCTCCTGCCCTGTTTGTCCGTAAATATATGTGTTTATTCATTCATGTTATTGTTGTTATAATTACTTATTTGACACTTTTATCCAAAGAGACATACATTTGTGCCTATGTACTGTATACAACTGGGGTACCTTGCTCAGGGGCACAAAAGCAATTTCAGTCCCAGGATTTGAATTTTGTGTTCTGCCTACCGCAGTTACAAGGTAATTGAGGGGGGAAAAAATAAATTGAGAAAATGCAGCTGTTCTTTTCTGTTTGTGCTACATGTTACCCATTTAAAACACATCGTTAATACCATTATTAATCACAGATGGAATGGAAAAAACATATTCCAATGGGATCAATGTATCATTTTAATGATAATTACAGAAAGGGCTAAAATACTCCAATCAGATTGGATCAATATTCGTTTGGAAATTGAGAGCTTTCTTTACACACAGCTCTCTTTAGGTCTCACCACAGCATCTCTATTGGGTTTTGGTCTGGACGTTGTGACCTATTATTTTGTAGATGTGATTGCGTGGTTTGGATGATTATCCTTTTGCATAATTCACTTTAGATTCAGCTTGAGCTGTCAGAGAGATGGTCTCATATTTTCTACTAGAATGTGCTGGTATAAAAGAAAATTCATTGTAGACTCTACGACTTTTTGGCTGCAAAACAGGCCCAAACCATCACCCCTCCACCACCATCCTTGATGGATGGTCTGAGGTTCTTCTGGTGAAAGGTAGTGTTTGATTTGCACTACTGTATGTCCAGATAACTCTGCTTTTGACTGACCTGTCCGGAGCACATTGTTCCAGAAGTCTTGTTCCTCATTCAAGCAATGTTTTGCACACTTCACCGATGCAGCAATGCTCTTCCCAAAGAACATGGGTTTCCTCCTGGCCATCCTTCCATGAAAGCCATTCCTATTCAATCTTCTCCTAATGGTGGACACACGAGCTCTGATATTTACCCTAGCGAGAGAAGGCCTGTAGATCATTGGATGTAACCCTTGGGGTTCATTAAGACTTCTAGGATCATACAGTAAGATCTTGGAGAATTTGGCAGGACTGGTTAATTGACAATAGTTTTTTACTTCTTTCTTACCATGGAATAATTGGGCTTTCTGTTGTTTGGAAATGGCTTTGTAACACTGATAAGACTGATAGCAGCACCAAATCTTGCCCTAAGACTGTCACAGATTTCTTTTCATGTTTTACTACAAACCTGAATGTTTAAGACCAAACTGACAAGGTGTGTTATTTTATATAGCGGTGGAAGCACTTCCTAATAATCAACTAATCACTTGCACATTTTTTGTCAAATGTTGCACGTTATTTGTCAAATGAGATTGGATTTATCTACTCTAAGGATTGATCAGGACTAGAGGAGGACAAAATATGTCTACTTCTCTCAAACCATAAAAGTACTTACTTTTTCACCACACTTGATATGCTTTTTCTGGATGGAACTAGGTTAGAATAAAGGCCGGGAATGTCACGGGGAATAAACATTTAGTGATCCTTCCTTGCTCATTTAGCCGAATTCAAAATCAGTTTCAGTCCTCAGAGAGGTTAAAGTTGCTGGGGTGAGGGATGAGAAACACGATCAGCCCAGTAAACAGAGAAAAGTGCCCGGCCTCAATATGCAGTACCTGTTTTCAGAAAAACAGAGGACAATTTTAATCTTGTTTTATAATGAGCAAGGAACTGTTTCCACCCAGAGATTCACTGTTGACATACACAGCATTTCCAGCTGATATCAATAAAGGCTAGGGGCAGAGGCTTGTGTTGGAATCTCCTGCAGCTGACAGAGGTAAACAGACCATTTACTGTATCTCTTGCACAGCACAGGGAGCTTTTAACTCAGGGAACTTCTAACAGCACTGGCAGCCCTTCATGGTTAATACTTTTTTAACATTATTGATTTATTTAAAGTGCCAACTTAAACTCTGTTTAGTATCGTTTTGAGACAGGATGAACTGGATGTGCAGACTGAATATACAGTACAGTCTTTTATTGTTTTTAGCAATACCATGACCAGCCTGTCAGCTTTTATTAAAGCAGCAGTTTCCATTCATTTATTGTCTTCATTTTTTAATTAAAGAACATATAGCTATAAATCCAGCACAAATATTGTGCTAGCAAACACTCCTTAAACACCAGTAGTTAATTGCTTTTTTCTGAGTGTGTGAAAATAATGCAGCCATCAAACATTACCCTCGTGGGTTTTTCTGCAGATATTGTATAGTTTAATGTTAATAAGTATCATGGGTGGGAGTGTATGTAGTTGCACCCAATTTCCTTTTCTTCAAGTTGCTGAAATTTACAGGATCTGATCAAAAAGTAACGACACTCTCCAAAACGCTTCCCTATATTATTTTGTAGTGAAGAGAGAATTCTGTGTTTGTTATGTGACCCACTGCAACACCAGCATAGCATAGTACTGAAATCACAAATTATCATCTGCAAAACAGTATTAGTTACCACTTCTTTTCACTAAATATGAATAAATAATTATAACACAAAATATGTTTTAAATATATATTTATAACTTCCTTCCATCTATTCATTTTCTAACCACGTTATCCAATTCAAGCAACAGGTACAAGGAAGGATACGCTCTGGGTGGGACACCAGTCCATCGCAGGGGCACTATCTGGAGTCTTACCTTAAAATAAAGTGTCACTGCCTCATATCATAAATGTTGCCAGCATATATACAGCACAAAACTATTTCAATACCGTGAAAATCTGTTTTTATGTGGTTTTGTGACAAATCAGTAAATCGATCCATTTTAAATTGCGCCCTCAGGTCACCTTAGGATTTGGCCAAACTAGTGAACTGTAAAAAAAGAAGAAAACAAAGGAAATTAAACAGCAATGCACATGATGTACCCTTTCTGCCTCCCATATGACCTACAGTATGGATATTCTTCAATAGGCAATAGTAAATAGCTGAAGTCAAAATCTGTTTTAGTCCTAAAGCTAAAGTTCCCTGGGTGAGAGATGAGAATCACAAGTAGCCGATTAATAATAAGTCGCTTGCTTAAGTATTAAAAGACAGATGTATTTCACACATACTGTATGTTATTAAGTATATACTGTAAACATACTCTACAGTATATCAGCACCTCAGGGGTACCTTTGTTCTTCAACAGTAAATAACACAATGTTCATTTTGCAAACTCAAGAAGTGGCGTTGACCAGGTTTCCTTCTAAATACAGCGTGTGCTCTTATTGACATGTTTTCTTATTTATTATCTTATCTATTTAATTCCATGTTTAGCTTATGGAATTGTCACGCTGGCGGGAATGTATTGTCATCCCTGTCCACTTCAAGCATAATGCAAGGTCAGTGTAACTCGATGCCAGATCCATAAGGCTTACCAAGGGTATTGCATCACAGATTAATTCATACTGTTGTCACAGAAGACAAATGTGATCTTTGCAAAAAGAAAATCGCTCAAAGGGATGTTTGTTACAATTTGTTTCAGACTACACTATAATCATTTTGTATACAGAAAATAAATGAGAAACCTGATCCAGTTTCATGCACCTTGGATTATCATTCTTTTTGAAATTCTTTCTTTGTTATATGCAAATATTTATTCTTACATATTCATGTTTCCTATTGTTTTTGGTAAATATGAAAATATTTTTCACTTTACTGTCTATGAATTCCTCTTCCTGGGTCCTCCTTGTCCTGACATTAGATAAATATTTTTCTTTGTTTCATTCTATAGAGCTTTTGAGCATCTTCAAACTGTTGCTTCTGTCCTCTTCCCTGGTGCTTCAGCTGTCATCCTTTACAAGTGAAAAACAATCCAATGAGCAATGAAGAGGTATGAGTGATTCTAAGAAGTTAACACCAAAGAACAACCACATTCAAATTGCAAAGTAGAGCAGATTCAATCCCAAAGAACTACTCCCAAATAGGAATAAATTGTAAATATTTAGTAACACTAACCTGAGTTCTAAATGTTGCCAGATAGGTTGGGTTATTGATTAACAGGGGGCACATAGCTGAAAGTGACCTAAAACCTGGCCTTAACTGACTGGTACATGTACAGTACATCTTGTGCTTTGTAAAGCCTTATATACCTGTACATATAAACTTGGAAGGCATATTTGGATTTTACCTGTGTAAGTAATGTTAGAGGTGGTGGTGGTGTTTGGGTTTAAGGGGGTTGGGATGGTTTTAGAACATTTTCTGGACGTTATGAGCTAAAATTGGGTTTTGTTTGTGTCCTTACTGTAAACCCTCAGTTTAATGGACTAAAAGGGGGGAAGGGAAGTCTGGTATTGCCGAATGTGCATTAAATCAGAAATTACGTTTTTTTTCAGCCCCAAAACACACTGTATATGCGTACAAATGCAAAACAAATCTTCACTTACTGTATGTGTTTAACGATTGGGACCAACATGATTGACAGTTTGTGAATTCATTGAGCGCATTCATGGGAACAAGCACTCTTCCTCATCTTCTTGTTCCTCTTCTTCATTGCTATAATAATACTATAATAATGATTGCAATGATATTCAAACTGAACATTTCTCCACACCCTTCTCCCAGAACATTACAAAAGCATATGACTTCAGAGTCACTAACTTCAACTTTCTTTCCCTTTATGCATGTGTTGACTTGATGTAGAAAGTCAGGTTATGGGTTCAGTGAACATGCATTAAATCTATGTTTATAACACTCAAAATGATCCTTTAAAGGTTGTAGGGCTGCGCATAATTGCACGTAATTGCTCTGCTTTATTACAACCAAAAGCACTCACCATTATTGCAACATATCTATGTTGTTACTGTATGTTCTCCACCTGGTCAGCTATTTTCTGTCATATTAATGCCCTGCAAAGGGGGTGTAGCATCAGAACATTTTCTGCTGTTGAATTGTTTGAATTTTATTTCATGAACATCTACATTCTTGTATATGTTTCCCTCTGTAGAGTCCTTCCTTTTTCAGTGGTCTAAAACTGGAATGACCCATTCATCAGACACACAGTCTGAAAAGGAAGAATTGTGAGTGGCCATTGAGGTAGGTGCTTAATCGAAGCACCAGCAGGCACGTTGAGCAAACAACATGACTAAATGATGTTCCCTGTGACATTGAAACCTACAACTGACACTGCGTATTAAGATTCTGGGTGTGCTGAATAGAATATCTGATTTTCGGCCTTGTTCCATCATTCCTGAGGCCTGTGTTGCATATTCATTCCATAATCCATTTTTTTTTTCAAAATGCCTTGCTATATGATATTTTGTTTCCAGCAAAACAGCAGCAGGCATTAAAAATGCTGTGCAGATCAACATGCCATGGACTGACGTTTCTATGTGCTTTCTGGAATACTGAAAAAATCAAAATAGTGGCAGTGAAAATAACAAGGAATGTTTCTGTAATAGAATGGGTACTTATCTTTTGTGCTGACCAACCAGTGTAAGTAGACACAATGTGGGAGGCACAGGAAAGTAAGTTTGTTTCTACAAATTGTATTCCCTTAACAGTATCGTAGAGCCTGTGTGGATATCAATCAGGTGTATGTCTGCTACCAATTACATTTCATTAGCTTTCTTGTTTAGAAAACCAGAATCAATTAAGTCCTAAAGTATTTGTATCCCCGAGACACTGCTGATAAATTATCCTAACTTCTTTTGTTGAAAAGGGACAGTTTGTTCCTTGATTGATCAATTTACCATTCAGAAAGTCCAACATCTTTCTGATGAGAAAAATCTCTCCAATGTGGGAACTTAAGTTGAGTACTGTACGTGACCACTGTTGCATCAACCCGGGAATCGGGATTGATTCAGTGGCTTTTGGGATGTGTCTTGCTTTTGTCCAGCTGAAATTCGAGGATTTCCTGAGCTCCTGGAATGCAGGATTTCCTGAGCTCCTGGATCACAGGATCCTCTGAGCTCCTGGCCTTTTGTTTTGATGCAAAGATTGTATAATTTCAACATTCCAGATGTTTTTGGAATGTATAGTTTTCCCACATATTGCTATCTGACAGTTTTCTCAATTTCTGAGAAACATACAACATCAATTTTTTCCCTGTTAACCCACCCGGAAGATACCCCCTTTCCCCAAAGAGAGAACGCCCCCCCCTTTTCTAAATCGTATCCAGATGTTGTTTTGTACATACCATTTACACAGAAAAAAAAAGTGAAAGAAGGTTAAAGTTAACATGCAGCAAAAATGATGTGCATGTACCAAACAAAAAAAAAACTAAATTTCCTTTCAACCTCATTAGCTTCATTGGCAAGACACATACTGGTATTGCAATGAGGGCAGTGTATTACACTCACGAAAAGAAGTACCAACAGCTGTCTATTGCACAGAGCAAAACAGAGCCCTTGTTCTTTCAAAACTGCTTGTTTCAGTGTCTTGGAAAATTGAGTTATTGGGATGGCAACATCAACCTTGTCATTCCACCATCAGTGGAGATAAATTTGTCTTAGTGCCCCACTGCTACACAAGCAAATGTCAAGAGAGATCCTCTCTTTGCTTTAGTTAAAATTATATTAGATGGAAATGTATCTATTTTGCAGGCTGTTCTACAAGGGCCCAAAGACTGCTTGTTGAAAAGTTGCATTGTATGTTTTCTTGTGAAAAGAAAAATCACTTTCAGCAGTATGAGGAAAAGGATCTCATTTTTTAGGCATTCACCCCTATACTTCACAGCTGGGTAGAGAAAAACTGAGGAATCCATCAACTGAAAGCATGAACCATTTTCTCTGCTCGCATGATAACTCCTGATGTGTGTTTGAAATATACAAAACGAAGTCCTGAACATCACAATTCAATTCATATAAAGCCAATCAGTAGTTTTCTTAGAAATACGTCCAACAGGAACAATGGATTTTGGATTTTGGATCCAATGAATCCAATGGATTTTGGATTGGATTGGATTTTTTAAAAACTGGATATAATTATTCATTGTGACAATACCTACAAATGGTTTAGATTATTACTTGCAGAATTCCTATTCCCAGGATGAAATCGACAGATTGATAACTTATAAACATATATTGCAAGATTTGATAAAAATCCACACATTTCACCAGTTATAGTTTTTGATTGAGCCCAATGCTGGAAGCATTATTCACATAAGCAAAACAGCAAACACAGCCTCATCACAGAAATGTGCTGGTTAAATGACACACTCTTGTTGCTCAAAATGTTAAAAAACTTCACACAAAAGCAAATAATGAAATCAAGAGAGTATAACTTGATAGTATAACCATGTGAAACTGGGAATATTTTCATAAATTTAGATGTTGACCAATGTATTCAAATTCTCATAATTTAGTCGTGCGAGGAACAATTGGAGGTAGAAGAATTTGATTTAGTAATGAAACGCACCTGGGACCAAAGATTCACCATGACTCTAACTACATTTTCCTAGAAATAAAATAAATCAAATTCTATCACAAAGCACACGCAGTTGTAAGAAAACAAAGTATGTTGTTTTCAAAAGGAAAGGGGGGAGAGGGGGGGCACACCTTTAGTCCATTCTTTGCTGTATGTCAGGCCACATATTTTCAGTGCCATCACACAGAATGGTTTCCCTAGCACTACAGCAAGGGATACCTCCTGTCTGGGCTGTGCCACCTCACGGCCACCTCTGGCAGATCTCTCGACAAGGTGCATTCAGAGCACGCAGTAGTGACATTTGTTCATTGGGAGATGTCCTTCACCAGGACTTGAAGAGAACTCCTTGATGGGGTTCTGGAATGGAGAGTATGGAGGAAGGACTTGCAGAGATGTGTGTTGGTGGGCTTGAAACCACGCTCTCACTTCTTGTGTCCCATTTCACCACACAGTTTAGATTGTTAGGCCCGGCCTCCTAACCCCCTTCAGGTGTATTTGTTGGCTCTATGAAATAAGTATTTACCATAAGATGTATCGCTATCGAGATGTGATAGCACTGCTGCCTTGCTGCTGATATTGAGTTGATGCTGGTCTCAGGCACCTTCTTTCAGTGTCATCCAGGTACCACAGTTTGCTTTCCAGGTAAACTGGCATCTCCAAATAGTCACCTCACAAATGTGTGCGAGTGTGTGTGTATGATTGCATGATTGTGTGCATACCTTTTGAATTAAGCTGTGGCTCAAAGGTCATGTATCTCTATAACAAATGTGATTATTTTGTGTATTTTTAATGCTAGTCATCAGTAAATGTGAAAGACTATCCATAAAAACTTCGACAACAACTGAATAGCTTTAAGAACAGGGTACAAAAGTTTTTTTGTATTTACCTTGTGGAAAGAAGGAAGCATGGATGACAAAAATATAAGACAATGTCAGAGGTTGTTTTTTGTTTTAGCACATTTTTATTGAAGGTAAAATGTAAATATCATAATATTCATTTTCAGTATAGAAATCTTTTCAAGTTCATAGCATTTACAGTGTAAATGAATAAAACACGCATGAGTGTGTAGCTGTACAATCCAAGATTAGCTTTTTTTTCCATTTGGCACATACAGTAAGGGACAAAAACAATGAACATGTGGAAACTGACTGGCTCTGATAATTAACAAGCGTACAGTCATTAGCTTTGTTGTCATTCTCATAATTTTATGTAAGCTGACACATTGCCGTCACAACACAAAAAATGTAGTCTGTGATAGCATTCGTGCTTCAACACAACACCAAAAACTGCACAAGGAGACACTAGATACTAGAGTCTAGTATTTAATAACGCAAACCTATACAAGAAGAGCAATATCTCATCAAATCTAATTTATCAACACATTGAACTGTACAATATTTTGAATAGGTAAGAGAAAATGCATGATTACATTTGAACAATTCATTTGATTCACATTTAGTAAAAAAGTAAATACATTCTCATTTATTCCCTTTTAGGTTCTGCAAATAGGAGCCACCTTCAGAATAGGTGGTTTGGCACTAAATTTGGTTTTTAAATGAAACAATTGCAGACACTACAAGGCTTTGGCATGACCACTGTGGCGATTACATTTTAACCACGTTTCTCTTTCAGAAGTTAAAGATATGCCATGTTTTTAGATGGTAGAATCAAACGAGTTGACAATCAGCTTAGTAAGGAAAATGACCTTTGCAACTCCGCAACTTCACAATATGTCTGGGAACTGTTTGGGAATAATGTCTAAACCAGGGGGTGGCCTATCAAATAATGGAAAGGTGATAGGTATTTAAGGAAGGTGTGATGGATAGGATTTTAAGATGGTTGGAGGCCAAAAATATCCATCCATCCATTTTCTAAAATGCTTTACTCAGTACAGGGTCACTGGGGAGCCGAAGCCTAAGATGGCAAGCAACAGGCACAAGGTAGGGTACACCCTGGATGGGACACCAGTCCATTGCACGGCCCACATATACACAGACATGCACACACTCACACTGGGGACAACTTTCCCAGAAGCCAAATAACCTACCAGAATGTCTTTGTACTTTGGGAGGAAACCGGAGCACCCGAAAGAAACCCTCACAAACTTGGGGAGAGCACACCAAGCAGATAGCACCCCAGAATCGAGCCCAGGACCAAACACCGCATGGCAGCAATGCTAACCACTGCGCCACTGCACCACCCAACGAAAAATATTTCTAGAAAAAATGAAAATAGAAAAATAAATACTTTATTTGACCCTATAAAGGATAAGAAAACTGCAATCTTTTTGCTCCAAAAGTACTGTTTCTGTTAACGGTGTTATTTAACATATGTTTCGCAGGAGATCGAATTGTTGTCTCACCCGTCTGCTCTCCTACACATAAGCACTCCCTGGGTGCCTACAACTCTGCGCACATCTTTTCTTGCCCCACTCCCTCCACCCCAACTTCACCAGTGTAGCTGCCTCCCTGGTTCATTCCTCGTAAGTGTGGGTTGTTGTGACAGCCGTAATCATCAACCTCACCTGTCATTTCATCAGCCAGGCATGTTAATCCCAAAGTAGTACATTTGCTATCCCTTTACACACTGTTATTAGAATTTGACCAAACTACTGAATAGTAATAACACATGCTTCACAAGTTTCATATTCTTCACTTTGCAGGGAGTTTATAGTGTTCCATCAGGGCCAAATTACTTGATTTTTTTTTGCTCTCTTTGACCTTAAGTCTGTCTTTTAAAATGTTTTGACATTTCTGAAATATAACCAAAACATGACATGACAAGGGTCTTATTATAAAGAATTCCCCCTCATACCAGAGCGGTTGTGAACACACCAGCCACTTCACTTCAGAAGCTAACTGAATCAATGTATTAGGATTATCGTGAACAGCATATCCCAATCTCATTTTTCTCAATCTTCTAGGTAAACTGGATGTTCCCCAAAATCATAAATACTGTACATGCATATATAAAAATAACTACATTTATCGATCATCAAAATGCAACACAAATATTTTAAGCATATTTCTATTGAGATTGTCTTTTTTAAAACACTACCAATTGTACTGCAAAGTTCCAAAAGTAGTATCACAAAGAGACAGAAGATGGAGTTGTGGGAGATTTTAAAAAAATCACTAAAGATGTGTTTGACAAATGCAAGGTAACACTTGATTGGTACCTGAAAGATATGCCTTATGCGTTAATTCCTGATTAACAGGATTTTTAAAAATATTTCTCAAATGCTACCTATAAAAAATGGTTTGGAAACTACTAAGCGTGATATCTCCATATAGAGAAAAGCACGGTTTCACTGATTAAGTTTAGCATATGGTCCATCTATCCTCTGTAGATTACTAGATGTGATGACTTTTGGCACAATAGTCATATAGAAAGGATTTTAAAATGTCACAGTTGCTAAATCTACATTTCACATTATAGTTCATTAGTGAATGGCAATTAACTTCTCTCAGAGTTTTTGCTTAACTGTCCTTTTTGCAAAAGGAAAGAGCCGACCCTTAAAAAAGTATTTTTCCCAACAACATCAAATGTAACTGTTACATCACTTACTGAAAACTCTATCTCATGTCTTCCACACTGTACAGTAGCGTCATTGTTCAGTCATTGAGTAGCTACAGAAATTAGGATGCAGTGTGGAGCTCAAGCATGCTGACACTGCGTCCCAAGGTAAAGGCATTGTCCACATGTCATCACCACCAACAGCCCTTAAACTCGGGAGGGAGTGACCTCTGACAGAGGTCAGGGGTCAGAGGTCAGAGGTCACCAGGGGAGGCTGGTGACTAGATACCCTAATGAAAGAAGCTGGTGGGGGAGCATGGAGGGGCAAGGGGCAGACTTCTGTTCAGCGGGCATCAAGCAACAGAGGGTTCCCTTTTTATAACGTTGATTGTCCAATCACACCAGGTGCTGTGGGCTGATCCTCGACCAAAGAGTTACAGCAGGCCTCCAAAAGGACACCCTAGAAAAAAATGACACCTGTTCAGTACCCCCCAGATTGCACTACTGGGAACTAGACTCTCGATACAAAAAAATATGTTATTTCATGTTCAACGTTTCAATGCATAACAAAATAACAGTGCACCAGGTATGCCAAACACGAGTAAGCCATAAGATGTAAGATGGAAAAGAAAACATGTCCGATACATACTTAATGCTTATTTCAATCAAGACAGATTAATGCTCTGTGGTTACACCTCAGATCTGCCCCCAAGACCCTGGCTCAGAGGACTGGAAATGGATCTCAAAGGTTATTTTGAACAGTTGGGAGGGTCTGGACTCGTAATTCTGAAATGATTTTCTTCACTGGCCGTGCCAAAATATCAACTCCCCTGCTTACTTCTCAGCTTTGCATCAGCTGCATGAAACTAGGGTCCTTCTTTAACTAAATACTATTTTCTTTCTGCAAAGATGAGAAAACCTCCCGGCTTTTCCTGTTATTCAAGACCACGCAGACTTGTCTCATGACATTTCCTGAACGATATGAAGAACAAAGATTCCAAGTCTCTTGGTAATTAAGTAAAAACATCAGGTGAGAGAGTAAACGCGCCAAGACCCCTTCAAATTATTGGAAGGGGCTGTGAGATTTTCAATAGTCTACATTCCCTCAGTAGTGATTAGCAAATTGTTGTGAGTCTGAGAGTTATGGCTTTGCGGATAGTTTCTGGGCAAGACTTTGTTTGTCTGGGAGAAATGGCTTACATGCACAGAAGAGGTTGAGTAGACACCCCAAAGGACTGCATTTAGCAACTCTGCCTTCAAAACAAATTGCAAGATGAGAGGTCGCATGACCTATTTCCGAGGAATCTCTACGTTGGTACTGTCTTAGTACCCAGCAGAAAACATTTGACTTTACCTAAAGGCCACTGTCCTTTGAATTATATTAAATAGAGGCCAATGATGTCTTACAGGCACATAAGGAATCAGCAACCACTATACCTACAGGACGGTTTGAAAGTAAAAAATCTACAAATCTACGCATTATCCTTGATCAAGATTCGTCCCTTGAATAACAGGGACTTCATCTAAAAAACATCACCAGATTAAACATATTATTTCTCTAACACTTTTGTAAGCTCAAGGCTCGGTTTTTGTGATGAACTTTTCTAACACATCTAGTCATATGATTTAATGTCTACAACTTGGAAAGTACTTTACTGCCAAACTTTGGAGACGAGCCATGCGATTTCAACATATTTTCCCTGTATTGGCAAACCTCTATCGGCGTCTTGTTTTACTCAAGATTTTAAATCTAGCTCATGATGTACAAAGCTCTGTTTGACTGCAGCTCACATATAGTACCTAAAGGTCCTGTTGATTCCATATCCCTCCAATCACTCTCTAAGCCAGGTCAAAGAATGCAGCGTGGTGTAGTGTTCCAAAAATGCACAGAAAAAATTAAGGCTGTCCAAGTATTTTCTTATAAAGCCCCACAAAAATATGGTTGTATGTGTCATCGTTTACCAGTTATAAAGTAGGCTCCTTCGGCTGCTCTTTTTAAAGTTAAGATGAAAATATTTTTAAATCTTTTAAAACCTTGCGAACGATACGCAGTGCTTTTTCATGTGGTTATTTGTTTTTTGTGGTTATCTGTTTGCATGGTTACTTTTGCATCGCCTTCTCCACTTCCTGTTTTTATTCTTTTGTTCAGTATTTTAGAGGCTGTTTTCTTGTGAAAAGGAATATAACAATAAAGACAGGGAAGGGACAAAAATGAATACCTTTTTATGTATAAAAAGTAAGGAAAGATTAATTAATTAAGAATGTTTAGCATTGGTGATAACGTTCTCTGAATTAGTATCTTGCCTTGACTCAAAGAAAGGTCATGAATTAAGTGGCTTATATAAAACCCACAATATTTACCTTGAGAGTTTTTCATTTTGCCCATCATAATGTCTTTTATCTGATTAAAAATACACAACAGTGAAGTGCAAGTCCAACATGTACTGAAACATTGAAGCACAAAATTGTTGAATGTATTTTGTAATCAAAAGTTGTTCATGTTATTACCTTAACGTAGAGGTTACATACCGTAGTATTGTATTGTACTATTTTATATAATTGTACAGAAACAGACTTCTACACATCTTTTTAATAATGTACTAGTTTTTTTATGCCACCACAGAAAACAAAAAATCTAATTTAAAAAGAACTGTAAGTAGATTTTTTCTCTCCCTAAACAACAACCAACAAGATACAATCCAATATCTAGATATTCATCTGGGTACACTTTGACTTTGCTGCTAAATTTATTTTTACTGCAAATATAAAGAGAATCAAAAGCAAGAAATGGGTATAGAAACCCATAGAGCATTTGTCGTGACTAGTGCCTCAAAGCATAAAGGGTTTTATGGAGATTCACTGTTTTTAAGCAGAAACACTTAAAACTGAGTCCATGGGGATTTTTACTTTAGGTGGATCAGTTTCCTTCGAGAGATAACCTAGCCGGCGTGACCGGGGTTTTCGAACTGTCACTGTATTTGTGTGTGCATGCGTGTGTGTCCTGCGATGGACTGCCATCCCATCCAGAGTGAAGCCCTGTCCTTCTCCTTACTCTTCTGGGGTGGGTTCTGGGTTGTCCACCCCTTTACCAAGAGTAACCACCATGGGAGTCTGATTAACACCACTAAGCACATTCAGTCAGCTTTCACAGTGCAGCGGAAGTACAGTATTTATTTTATGTCAAGACTGGGCACGCATAGTGACCCACGCATTCATGTGATTGCTGCCCCTCAGGGTATGTTTCATGCTTTTAATGTTGCTTAAGGGGGAACTGCAACACTATTTTTATATTCTGGGGTGAGAAAGAACCGGCATTGATGAGTGCAGGTCCAACCACAATGAAAGTAAAATGTACCCACTAACGTGTAAAACCTCCGATTTACATCACAAAATAGATGAGATTTCCAGGTCTGTGCAACGCCTTATTGCCGTCATTGTCTGCGAACGAGGCAAGAAAACGGCCGGGAAGGTGAAGCAGGCTTCTGAACACATCACTTTTAATCCAATAGAAAGTGATAAAAAAAGTTTAAACCGTCTCTTAAAGTGGAGTTATGGTACCGTTTCGGTTAGTAATTCAGATTTCAGTTGCTTGCATACAGTAATTATTAAATATTTTACTTGCATTGTGATTCACAGAGCATTATTATTAAGAACAGAAGAAAGACTATATTACATTTGTCATTATATTGTCATTTGTTATTATATTACATTTGTTTTATCCCCACTAGGGATTCTTAATGAAGGTAGAAAATGAGAATGGTTCCTCTAAGATCAATTCTTTCCAAACCTTTTCTCAATGCAAACTTTCCTCTACCTTTTCTATTGCTAGATACAATGTAACTCAAATGAAAAAGAAAAACTATTAACTTAATTTTAATGTAACTATTAATTTTATTTAAGTGGAAAATTATTCACTTAAATGTTCTTTTCCACGCTTAAATCAATTCCTGCTACATGTTCAGTAATTAAGACTATGCATATTTCTAATCCTTCAGAAAACCAGGGGTAAAGTTTGCTCTGGATCATACAGCTTTAAGAATAATATCATTTATCATCATAATAACATCCTTAATGATTATATTGTTCAGGACAAAATGATAACGAACATAAATTGTGCATTAATAACCTCTGAAATAAGTCACAGCATACAGTACATATGCAATGTCTTTTTATATAATGGATGTGCACTGGATTGTTCACATACTGTAACTATACATCTTTACACATATCTTATAACAATAACATTAAGACATTTAGGAGATCCCTTAATCCAAAGAAATGCACATTACAACATACAGATTTTTATCATTCTTCTGTGCAACAAGCGGATCGGGACAGAGTCAGCTGTTCTGCGTTCACTGTACCGGTCTGTGGTGGCGAAGTGGGAGCTGAGTTTAAAGACAAAGCTCTCGGTTGACCAGTCGATACACGTCCCTGTCCTCACCTATGGTCATGTCCGTGACAGGGATAGAAGCTCAACAATCCGGGAGAGCCTCAGAGCAGTGTCCCTGCTCCTCCTGGTCGAGGGCTGCCAGCTCAGGTGGTTTGGGCATCTAATAGGATGCCCCCCCGGTCGGCTCCTACTGGAGCTGTTCTGGGCACGTCCCACTGGGTGGAGACCCCGTGGGAGACCCAGGACACGCTGGAGGGATCATATCTCTCGGCTGGCTTGGGAGCATCTGGGGACCCCCCAGGAGGAGCTGGAATCAGTTGCTGGGGACAAGGAAGTCTGGCCTGATCAACTCGGCTTGCTGCAACCATGGCCCTCACCAGGAAAAGCAGAGTGAAAATGGATGGAAGGACGAATGGATGCTTCTGCGCATTTCTCTCTCTTTAGACGTTGAGTAGTTTTCTTGTGCTTAATTTCAGTGAGATCATCATTTGTTTGGTATTACACTTCTGGCACCCAATCACAAGCCTCTCCTTGTACAACAACCCCATTTTCATACCTTGCTCGTCTGCATGTGCCCGTTGAAGTCATTGTTTCTGTGAGAGAGGAACGAGTCGTGGAAGGTTGTCTTTTCCGTCCGGGGTAGGCTCGGGTCACCGTCTTCGACCCCGTTGCCTTTGTAGATGCACAGGACCTTCCGGAAACTCTGCTTGAAGTTGTCGGAGAGAAAGCCATAGAGTAAGGGGTTGGCGCAGCTGTTGGCGTAGGAGAGTATCACCACAAAGAAATAGATCCCAGCCATGACATTGTTCTCAGGCACAATGAAGACCAGGTTGACCATGTTGAGGATGTAAAAAGGGAGCCAGCAGCAGACGAACACGACGACGATGATGACCACCATTCTGGTGACTTTCCTCTCGGACTTCCTCCGCTTGGTGAAACCAGCCCGCACGCCTGAGGACTTCACCTTGACCACGATCAGCAGGTAGCACAGACATATCACTAGCAAAGGCCCAAAAAAGCCCAAAACAGACGTGTAGATGATAAAGGTGGTAGACCATACCGCATTGGGGTCGGGCCAGTTGATGTTGCAGGTGTTGAGCCCGTCTTGTACGTCGGAGAAAATGATCACCGGCAGCACCACGAGAAAAGACAGGATCCACACGCTGGCGTTGATCACTTTGGCAACCCTGGGCCGCCGCCACTTGGTGGACTTGATGGGATGCACGACCGCCAGGTAGCGGTCTATGCTCATGACGGTCAGGCAGAAGATGCTGGTGAACTGGTTGATCGCGTCCACCGTCATGACCAGCCTGCACAGGAAGGACCCGAAGGGCCAGTAGGAGAGCACATTCTGCGTGGTGAGGAAGGGTAACCCCAGCATGAAGAGCTCGTCGGCCACAGCCAGGTTGAGAATGTAAATGTTGGTGACAGTCTTCATCTTAGTGTACCGAAGGACCACATAAATGGCCAACGTGTTCCCGGTGAGTCCGATGGTGAACACTGTCAAGTAGATGACAGGGATCAGGACTGTGCTAATGCCATCTAAAGGCACAGACTGAATTGTGCCATTCCTAGAGATATTTGTGAGCAGGGTCTGGTTGAACGCTTCAGGGCTGACTGCCCAAGCAGAGTTTCCGGCAAGATCCATTCTGGCACACAGTTGCGTTTCAAAGTTTCTCGGTCAGCACAAGATTTCTGAAAATACAATTCAGAGAATGCAGAGTTAGTTAGATTTCAAATCTCTGCCTTCACAGTACACAGTAAATGAGTCCATCCACACACAGATAAGGAGATATATGGAAACCTGTGACAAAACCCTTGTATGTTTATGTTTCCATAACATTTCTTCCCTCTAGACAATGTGGTGAAGCCATACGCATCAAAGGATATTACGTAACAGCTGTGATATATGTGAGTTAGACTTTATTGAAAATAGTGTACAACTTTATTAACCTCATTACAAAATATGTATTGCTGCTGTGGCATCTGCCCAAAGAGGAGCAACCAGAGGCTTTGCCAAGATGAGATGAAATGTCCGACACTGACAGACTTAAAGAGTCTTGAACAGAGAGGACTGTGGGGGGACATGATTCAAGTAATCAAAATCCTCAAAATCCCTGACAGTCAGTCCAACAGATGTCTTCATGTTTTACATAAAGAGTTGTGGGTATGTAGAACCACATGCTATAATAAAGGCTCTCTGTTAAAGCTGAAACCCAGGCTTCCAAAAAAAAAACTGCTGGAACAGATCCTCAAATTAGATACTATCATACTGTATGAGTTTGATAATCTGCTCAAAATGACAGTATAATCTTCCTTATAACAACCAGTTACAACACAGGGCTAATGCTAACGTAAAACAGAATTATAGACTGCAAAGGAACAAGTAATAGGTTTATTCCATGCTGAAAAAAAACATGCTCACACCTGAAGAAGGCTCCACAGCCGAAATGTCGTGTTCTCTTTCTTCTTTTTTTTTCAGCATGGAATAAACCTATTACTTGTTCCTTTGCAGCCTACGCATGCTGACACAGCTACCCACCAGAATTATAGACTTCTGGTGCTAGAGAGGTAGACCAGGAATTATGATCACTGATGTATATAGTATATTGGATAAGACCCTTGTTAGGAAATGAGAGTGCTTTTTCTTCAAACAGTAACTGATCTGCTTCAAGCCTTGTCCTCACATTACATTATACATGTATCCTTTTATTTTTCCCTGGGCTTAATGTACAGTAATATCTCTGTTTTTTACCTTCATCCAGTACACAGATCCTCACTGCAGAAAAATGCCAGTTCAAAGGAGCTGAAAAACCCTTCAAGAAATCCTTAGATTTACAGTGGTAATGTGTGTATCGTCAGGAGTGACCCTACACTGGATTTTATGTGAGGAGTATGTGATTTTAAAGTAAATAGACAAATGCTGTTACCTACTACTGCACGTAGGGGAGGAAGGAAGTAAACTTATGTAAGTAAATGATTGCAAATTCAGTTTTAATTGAGTGATTTTCAATTACTGCTCTTTTAAATACAAAACAAAATTTTGAAATGCACTTATTTCCCAGCTCACTGAATATGTCACTACTGCCAAAAGGATTATCAAAAGCTTTTACATACAAAACATTTGTAACCGTGATTCGACTAGAATTTCTTGTGTATTTAGGGATGTTTATCAAAGCACCTAGCTGTAATGCGTCCCTACTGTCCGTGTTTTGAACTTTGATCTTTGGTTTTGGAGTTCTGATCGGTGTCGCGCTGCTGAGGCCCATTGGAGCTGCTGATCCTTCTACAAGCAAAGCCAGAAACTTGATGATGAGCGACTAGCAAAATAGGGGCAAACTCACAGTCAAGAGTGTATTGATTTGAGGGCTCTTAACACAATTCCTGACTGATATTCCCAGCTTTTAATTATCACACGCCAAAAGGATTAGTGGCTCCTGTAGCTGATAACATGCTGTGTGCCTGTGCAGTCTGGAAAGTAAACTAGCGTATTCTTTAAAGCAGGTTTTTGAATTGTAGGTATGGATTCCCGTCTCACTAAGCTTGGATAATGTATTATTTGTTATTTCTTGTTAACCGTGATTGCTGCAAAGCCACACTTCAATTAAATGCATTTTACATGGACATGTATGCTTAATTGGAAAAGGTAATATTCAATAACTTGAGCCGAGACTTAACTGGTATAGAAAACCCTCTCTCTAATATTCACATTGCAATGCTATGATACAGTAAGGGCACATTTAATGCTACACGCAAACATGCAGAAAATGAAGCCTTTGTGTTCTTGTGATCACAAAGACATTTTAAAACCAAGGATTTGTACCAAAACCTTTGTATTTGCCTCTTGTGGCAGACATCCAGTGGCAGACATTGGGTGCATGCCAGCTGATAATCGGTAAAGATAGATTTTCAATTTCTTTTTTTTCTGCTCGTTATTATTTTGAATAGGAATTATTCATCAGCTGGCATGCACCCAAGGTCTGCCAATAGTTGCTTTAGTTTTAGGTTACCTAGGGAAACAATAGATAATTCTTCCTAAGCTCTTTCCATTTCATAAACTAAAAGAAGTCTTTGTACTCTGATATTGATTAGCAATTGGTAAATGATAACTAGAAAACGAAAACCATAGGATTCCAAGCAGTCTCTCAAAAAGACCAGGAAAGATCACTCCAGGACAGAACAGCCAGCAACTTAAATGCCTTTATGGAGGATGTTTATCCTGAACCACTGCATGTGGTACTGTATGAACTGACTATTTCTTTAGATTTCCAACTCAAAATCCGCTTGTACCACAAAATCCTGAGGAAATTAAACGGAAATTAACAGAGCTTCCACTTTATAGACACTGGCTAAGGAACAGACATGGTAGGAATTGTAAAGAACTATCTAACAGAGGAGTAGTGTGCAGTAATTCATCTTTTTTCTGTTCGAAAAGAGTGGTGAAGTACTGCCCTCACAATTGAACGAACTGGAGAAACATTTCTGAAAGGAGATGGAACTTCTAAAGACTGGGCCTGAGGTAGTGTGAAGAGAAGCACTTTGAACCCTGTACCTGAATAGCTTTTTGCAGCAGAACTGCAGAAAATCTTAGGAACAGATGCATTTCTGTATAAAGAATTACATTTAAAAATAGCTAGAATGTCATGCACTTGAAATAAAAAGCACTAGCATCACAGGCCTTTGTGTTTTTAATTGTTAAAAAGTCACCATAGTGACATTACACGTACTGTATAATGTTTCATCTTCCCTGCAATGGACTGGCGTCCCACCCAGGGTGTACCCTACCTTGTGCCTGTTGCTCGCTGGGATAGGCTCCAGCTCCCCTGCAACCCTGAACTGGAAGAAGCAGTTAGAAAATGGATGAATGAAAATAATGTTTTCAGTTTGTTTCTGGGCCACTTTAAACTAGACGAACACCTGTAGAAAAAGATGACTCAAAAGGGTTTTGGGGGGGGCACCTGTCCTCATAATTACAATGTATTAACTAAAATGTCAATGAAACTGGAATTGAAATAGGACTGTAAAGATGATGTAGATAAAACGTCATTTTATTTCAAAGAGCATGGCGAGCGATGTGAGAATCTAGATTATGATTGTAGCACACGAAACACTGAAGAAACTGGAAAACCCTGCACACACACACCTGCACTAGACTTTAGTGGAATCTGTCTCTGCTATATCCCCTGCATTTAAGCATTCATCACGATGATGAGACTTGTTAATTAATCTCATGGGGCAGATATTAGGTTCTCAGAACAAGATGAATTGTTTTTTTATGTTGCGTAACAGTTTTTAGGAAACAAAAACTATGTGCATGAAGAAGCTCTTTGCTGATGATGATACTTCATTTATTCCTATTATGTATTAACCCCCTCCTGCCATTGCTTTGGTTTTCTTAACCTGTTTTAGGGACCATTACATTTTATAGAAAAATGAGCCCCATTATCCACAACTGGATGCCTACCAACCATTTAAGGTTAAACTGATTATGATATTGCATAGAGGGAAGACTTTCCAAAGATTCTTGAAGAAAAGAGTGTAAGAGGAATAGGAACTGAAAGCACAAAATTACCCACACTCCCTAACTGGTACTGGATATTTTTTATGAGCACAGTAGTTGTTCAGAATGAGCATAAGTACTTCCTAGAGACACATTGGAAGCACATTGTTAAAGTATTGTTATAATATATTACTGTATATGGCTCATAAATTGAATAAATACAGCAACATGCATCATTTGACTCTCAAAATATAGGTAAGTAGCAATTTGTTTAGTAAATATTTTATGCTACACGAAGTGAGGGAGCAGTGAAAATGAGACCCGATGGAACTGAGGTTGTTTCAGACACCTTTATTGCTTAACTAGCTTGTAAAGTTTTATTTTTTGCATATAGTCATAGCAACTGAACAGAAAGAACTCAGTTTTGTTTACTGAAAGCCTACTAATTATTGCTCTGATAAGATTCATAAGTACCATACTGTCATTTTATCAACTATCCAGATGGTTAATTTACCATCATAGCTTTCTAATCTTAAAGCACTGAAACAACGGCCATGTACAGTACTCAGACTTTTTTCGGCTCACAGTTAATGATCTCATTCTTTTCTATCAGGCTCCACATCTGTTCCATAAAGCTTGCATTGAATCGGGAAGCAGGATCCCAGAGTAGAAATGCTCTTTTTACTTGTCCACAACACATTGTTCCATCAAGTTTCAGACTTGATGTTGTTTCATTCTCTGTTCTTAATTTCTCCTTCAACAAACCTGCTCTTTCAGAAGGTTACCAATGAATATTAATTTCATTAGACTAGCCTAGTAGGACACCTAGGTTGATAATCAGGGTGATAACACTAATATTTAAAAAAACAGGATTTATTTGAATACCAGGGGCAAGCATGCAGAGTTAAAGAGATTCAGCTAAACTGACAAGAAATTAAATGCACAATTTATTCTACAGTATGTTGAGAACTTCTGCTTTCTTGCTGTACAATGGAATTTGGAGAGGGTTAGGCCAATATTCCTTTTAAATGTTACAAAAAACTCAAATTAATCCGTTCAGAGTTCTGATAGTTTTTATTTTCACAAAATTAATTTACAGTTTGCCGAGGACGTTCTCAAGACAACTGCATTTCAAAGTGGATCAAGGAATGAGTCTACAAGTTAGACAACGGGATTAGGCTCTCGGCTGCTTCTC